TTCAATTAAAATGGTTATGAAATGATGAAACGATGAAACAAGCACATAATGTCCCAGCCATTCTTTTATTGCTATAAACAAAAAATATAGAGTTAGCCATGTATAACTTAATGTTCCTGTTAATGTTCATGTTTCTCCAGACTGTCCTCCTGGCCGTAGTAACTATGACAGGAGCAAAGGGAAAAGTGCGGTGACAAAGTCCATGTCAGGAGGAGGTTGTGGTGGATGGATGGGTCATCAAAACACAGGAATATGACACAGGAGAGCAGCGTTCAATTCCCATGTGAAACCAGCAGTTTATGTTGTTTGTTTTATGTAACCATGACAACAAAGATTTCACTAATGTTGAGGAAGTACTTATTTTAACTCAAGTCATGATCTTTTCCCAATCCAAACCAAGCCATTACCATTATTATAGTAACCACAGCGATGAACATTACGCGGCTCTTGGGACAATCATGTGTTTATTATGACCATGACAACTGAGGCCCGGCATGCATGCCGCCGTAGGGGCACTATTTCAGGAGACACTTTTATGGGTCGTAAAAAAGGGTTAAAAAAAAACACCTGTATAGCTGTTCAGGTTGGAGGAGTTGTGTTTCTCATACCAGTCTGTCTTTCAGTGGTGTAAAGTACATAAAGATGGCTGACTGCGTAGAATGATGAGCCTCGATTTTGGGTCGTATCTTCAACCCATGACGCTGAGTGACTATGTATAATCTAATGTAGAAAGGTCAAACGTACCAAACCTATAACCCAGCAGCCAGAACCCAGCAGCATTTTTAGTGTGTGTGAACTGCAATCTCTGCTGTCAAAGTCAGACGCTTTGCACACCCAATCATCCGCCCTCACCTCCTCCTCTACTGATTTAGCGGCACTATGTCACTCTTGCTTTTGGACTTTGCTCGCATTTTATGAAATCTGAATCCATCATTGAATCTGCTCATGGAGTCAGAATATCTTCCAGACACTTATCAAATGTGTTTGCCTACATCTTCCAACTATTCAATTCAGATCTGTACTTGGCAGAGAAAATGCTCACAACCCGCAGATAAAACCTGAAAACGATATGAGCACCAGAAAATGTGAAATGCAAATTAAATACGTATCTGACACAAAAAATACAGTCACAGTTGCTTCTTGGTTACTTCTGCATTACATCTTATTTCATGAGCTACTTGCTCCAAACAGTGGAGGCACAGGTTCAGAAGCACTCAACTAATGAGCTTAAATTATTGATATGATAAGAAAGGCTAAATGAGAGACTGATGTACAGTAACACAGCTGGCTTGTTCCACTACAGCAGATACAGCAACGCCTGGGATGAGTTGAACAAGAAAAGGCAGCGGCCACTCACCATTGTAAAGTGATGTTTCATAGTGTCGTTTCTTTGAGCACACCATCCGGTTTGTGAGGTCTGAGCACAGACACTGGCTCGTACAAATCCCATGACTAATCACATTAACCAGAGGACAGCCAAAAAAAAAGGTTGATTATGGACTCTGGGCATTTAAAGGGGCTATTCGTATGTTTTTTTCTGCCGCTCAACGTCGTTTCTTGGCGGGAGCCGGTTCTGGTGCTTTCCACTTGACAAGAGCTTCAGCCATCATTGCGTTTACAAGACAAGAGCTTATAAAACGTCCTGTGAGCAGCACTACTTTTTCAGGGCAGATTAGAGGCTACATTGAGCCGCTATAGGAAAGTGACCAAATGAGCCGGGGCTAGCTGGTTAACATGCTAACTTCAGTAGGAGAAATGAAAAGGCATGATAGAGACAAGTTAACACTGGTGTTGCTTTCAACCTCTGGAGACAGCTTTTGTTGAGTAAAGGAATAAAGTTTGACGCTGAATTTGCAAAGTTTTTTCTAGACTGGTAAGTAAACAGCTGTTAATACTAACATTTGCTATGTAGCTATATCAAAACTTACAAATTGCTCCTTTCATGTCAATTGCAGTTATTTAGTCATGGTCTCAGACATTCCTTAACACTAAGTTTACTTTTTCAAATCTCCCCACAGATGTGAACTAAACTGTTAAAAAATGTTTCATTCTTTTCACCAAAATTCAGTGTCAACAGTTTTCTTAGTGAAAGTCAACTTCCACCAAAACTCTGTGTCCACTGCACATTTGTGTTGAAACCTAACATGAAATGACTGTAAATCAGGAGACAATTTGCCTTATTCTGATACATTTAAATAACCATAGAGCAATTATTGTCCTCATGGAGCTGGGAATTGTCTGACCACTGCCCACATGATCAGATGTCTCTCTGCTGTATTATTCAAATGACCACATGTCAGTTGTCAGGAAAACATGCACATAAATTGTTATAATGATGGTCTGATCTTCATATTTTGAAGTATGAAGCAAGCACACACGCTTTCTTCATCCTGCTGCCTTCAAATGATCCTAATCATGATAGAAAAAAAAAACACTGGGAACATTTCATTAACCCAAAGAGATACAGCCCAAAGTGAGATGATCCCGAGTTCAACAAGTGATGAAAACAATCATTATCTGAATAAACATGAAACACCTTTCCTGCATATAAAGCAGTCCAGCAGGCCAAGATCACATTGACATTTAATGATCAACAAGGAAGAAAGGAAGTGATCTGCTGCAGCAGGGAACAGTGAAATGATACAGCAAAGAAATAACATGAAATAAACACTACAGCGCTAAACATAAAGATACACATGCAATTAAGTGGGAATGGTGGACATTTGTGTATTACAGCTCGGATGCAGGTAATTGATGCAGCTCTCCATACATGTTCCACCTTTCTCTGTCATTTCATTTCATCTCCTCACCAGTTTCCAATTTTCATCTTTCTGTCATAAAAAATATATATATATATATTTCTTTCGTGTCTTTCTCTATTTATCTGGTTGTATTTGTGTCCTCCCACGTGTTGTCTAATTGGTTGGTCCTATTTTCATTCCTTTTGACATTCCTGTATTGTCATCTCCCATTTCTCTTTCTCTTGCTTGTCTGGTTAATCCTTTGGCAGCTTGTTTTTTTTGCGTGTGTTTTTTTACATCTTCTGTAGTTACTTGTGTTTCTTTCAAACTTCAGTTTTAGTATTTTCCTTTTCCTCCCCTTATCTCATACTTGTTCCTCCAATTTAACCTCTGCTATAAAGCGATATGTCGTACGGCTTTATGACACAATCGTACATTTCCATACACAACAGGAGGAAGGCACAATTTTTAAATGCAGTTTAACAGTTCTTTCCGGTAATAAAAAGGGGATGTGTTTGGACTGTACTCTGAGGCATTTGGGTGAATGGAAAATATGGTCTAAATTTTTTAGAAACATTAACATTACTTCTGGTATGAGATAGACCATCAGTCATCTCCATACTGATCTCATTCATTAGTGTAATTATACCAAGGTACATTTAATTTGACAAGATTTATTTATGTTTGTGTGCTACAAAGAATTTTTTTCCTATATTCGTTTCCTCATCTTTCTCTTTTTATCTTTGTTTCCTCAATCATTATTCAGTGAGTAAGTAACTTGATAAGGACGCATTACCTACTTTCTTATTATCTTCCCTGATATGGCTCATCCACGTGTACGTTTCTCCTCTCCGTCTTCCCTCTATACCTCCCTCTATCTGTCCATTCATCTGTCCATATATCCCTCTTTAGGAGTTATTATGGTTAATAGGAAGGCCAATGTGTTCTGCTTCCCAGGGAAATGGAACTCATTACTTTTCATTAAGTACTTCTTGACAAAACTACTCCCTCATCCTCTCCATGTCCTCCGTTTTCCTATTCTTTCTTTTTTTTCCCTCTGCTTCATGTATCATTTGTCTTTTCGCTGATAGGCCTCCTAACTTCTTCCTGTTCTGTTTCATGACCTGATCCACAAAACCAACCAACCACATTTTAAAGAGGTTTTAGAAAACCTCAGTTTGGACAGATACTATGAGCTTTATTCCCATGAATCAGATGCACATGGCACAAGCACAGTGACTGTGTCAAGAGGCACATGGCATGACTATAACACAGTTGGAAATGGTACTGTAACTGCAGTGAGCCTGGCCTCCAGCCTGACCAATCAAATCACATTTTTCCTACTCTTTAATATAGGCCTCTTTTCCAGGTTACACTGACCATTTGGTGATAGAAAGAACTTTTGTGGAGGAGCTGCTTTGGTCTTTTCTGAGAGGAAACCAATTTCAGAGTTCACAGAAAACAAATGTATGTATGTATATATATGTATATATATGTATATTTATCTGTGTGTGTGCGTGTGTGTGTGCGTGTGTGTGCGTGTGTGTGTGTGTGTGTGTGTGTGTGTGTGTGTGTGTGTGTGTGTGTGTGTGTGTGTGTGTTTGTGTGTGGCAGAGAGCAAGAGAGTTGGCATCCATAAACGCTGTTAGTGAAAATAGCACAAAACTCACATGCACCTTGTGGCATTGACCTGTTTGTGGTCGACCAAATGACCAGATTGGCAGAGAAACACGTATTTAAAAGTGAAGGAAAAAAGCACCATACACATGAAATAAAACAGGTCACATCTCTTTTTGCACAGACTGTTGTCTTACATTCAGCAGAGGATAGACCAGTGTTTCCTGAAGTGAGTGCTGCAGCACTTGGGGTGCCTTTAGAACGGGCTGAGGATGGGCCGCAAGACCCATCATGTTTTTCCACATTTAATTTACATTAACCACTTTTCAAACACATTAAGACAGAAGAAAAAAAAGCTATAAATGTCAAAATCAACATATTCAAAAACAAAAAGTTGTGTAATTTAAAAGACCACGTAGGTCATTTGTTCCTACCCTCAAACTAATAGTGCTGCAGCTGATGACATGACATCTCATTTTTGTCATAGTAACACAACTCCTTTTCAGAGCAAGTGATGGAAATATGTTACACAGTAAAAAAAAAAGCTCAAAGAAATGTTGATACATCACATCCCTCACAGTCTGAACCCACTGAAGCTGAGCCCACAAACAAAACTAAAACCACACTGACCACTTCTCGGCAATGGCGGAACGGACAGGTTTTGGCTTGTGGAAGACATTTATCATTGCCCGCTGTGGTATTACACAATCCCAGAATCATATATTTGTGATGCGGCTCTCTTCTCCCTGGTTTACATGAAAACGAGAGAAGACAGCACTTCTCAGTGCAGTTACACCTGCAGGTTTTGTGCTCTCCACCCACGTCGACAGGCTCAGCTGTTCCATTAAAAAAGACTGCAATTGTTTTTTTGTTTTGTCTAGTTTGTCCTTGTACACCTTAAATACAGGTATTTAAATTTTGAGGAGAATGAAAGAAATACATTTAATATATCTGTGTATTAAATTGTTTAATTTAAGTGAAATATTTCTCTGTAAAAAATGCAGAGCATGTTATACGTGGAGCTCTGTGGCTTGGAGGGTTGAAAACTGTCCTTTGAAGGGGTTTCATAGTCTAAAAAATCTGGTAACCACTGGGCCAGACTGTGATCAGAATTGAGGAGGTTTTATGCCAAAATATGTTTCCGCTGGCGGTGCGTTCTTCCCTTGATTTTCTAATGGGGAAGTAATCATTTCAACTGGATTACAAAAGAACAATAGAAACTTACTGAATTGTTTCCGAATGAACAGAAAACCATTTGTTGTCATTATAAATCATCCGCAGTGTTCTGAGGTTCTACTGTACCTGACACTAAGGACATTTCACTCATCATAGAGTCACTGCACAGTGGCAAAGTAACAACACTGATCAAAGACTAAATGACATCAAAAGCAAAGAAAAACTGTTTTATGGAATTCAAATGTAGGTGCCAGAGAGAGCGAGAACAGGGGCTGAACTACTACTGATGTCATAATTATGCTAATAAAAGAGGCAAGACCGATTTTCGTCACTGTAGCACACCAAGAACTATTTAATATGTTTATGGTTTCACGCAGGACGTGTTCTAAGAGGTCTGATTTTGTTATACGTATGCGTCAGTAGCATTCCTACAGCGCTCAGTTTAAGTGCTTGTTAGTTTTAGATTTCTTGATGATAATGTTGTATTGAACTTTATTGACCTAGATGAAGAGTACAGGTTATGGCTAATCATCCTTTTACCACTTATTCCAAATCACTCTTTATTCTACATCTATTTATTCAACAATCCACATCCCTCCCTGCATGTTCACAAGGTGATTTGAGACTAAATGAACTTTTCATTTTCATTGGCCAGCTGCCAGTCACATGACTCACCAAGGTCTCATTGAACGTGAAAAACAGCATGTCATTTCTGTTATTACTGTAGCTTTGTCTTCGTCTGACAAAGACCAACCCTCCACACACACACACACACACACACACACACACACACAATCATCATCACTACTGTGCACAGATACACAGTCAAAGGATGTTTTTGATGCAGTTCTGGTATTAATAAACGTCGAAGGTGTCACTGAATCTGTGTGTGTGTTTGTCTGAGTGTGTTTGTAAGCGTGTGTGTTTTTCGTTTTTTTGTGAGTGAATACATTTCAGTCTATTTGGTAGCATTAGACAGAGGGCAGATTGTGGTCAACTCCATTTATTCAGCCTTGACACTTGCGCGTGAACGTACGTGTGTGTTTGTTTGTTTGAGCCTTTTATTGTGGCTGTTGGTTATATGTGTGTTTGTGTGCATGTTGTCCTGTGTGTGTGTGTGTCTGCGTTGTGCATGCTACAAGCCTCGTATGCTGATAGATGCTGTTGTAACTCCATAGCACTGAATGAAGGCCATAACCCACACATGCATTACCATATTCATACAGCTCACAGAATAGATTGCTTTGGTGTGTGTGTGTGTCCATGTATGTGTGTGTAGCATACATTCCCCTGGTTTTTGCTAGAGTGCAACTCATTTTGAAAATGGCAACCACACTGTGTTTCTGTTTCTCACGTTTCTCCTTGCTCCTTTACACACACACACACACACACACTCACTATGTCCTTTCACCAATATATGTGAAGGTCTATCTAAGCCTATTCTCATAAAATGTTTTTCAGAGAAAAGAAGTAACCATCAAGTCAGCTGTGCGCCAAAATTGAACATCAGCACAAACCACCGGGCCAAATGGCAGGTTCTCTTTCTCTCTCTCTCTCTCTCTCTCCCTCCCTCCCTCCCTCTTTCTCTCTCTTCCTCATCTCTCACCTTCTTTCCCTCATCTGTTTTTCTCCTTTTTTTCTCTCTCTCTTCTTGTCCCTCTCACTCTGGGTGTAAATTGCCCTGGAGTGGTGATAGACTTGTGTGTGTGCGTGTGTGTCTGTTTTGGGCTGTGTGCCGCTTTTCTGTGTGTATGTGTCTGACTGTATTCCTCTGTGTGTGTGTGTGTGTGTGTGTGTGCGTGCGTGCGTGCGTGCGTGCGTGCGTGCGTGCGTGCGTGCACCTTTGTGAATGTTGGGATCATTACCTGTGCCTGTGTGTGTGTGGGTCAGGTCAAGCTATTATTATGGCAGCAGCTGTAGTGGTATTGCAGGGGATTGTGGGAGGTGTGCAGACAGGCTAGAGGCTCTGAGGGGCTTTATGTTTGAGTGACAGGCCTGAACTAAATCTGCTGCACCCTGCACACACTACATAACTCACACTCCTCCAGGTATTAAACATGATAAAACGTATTGTGTGTGCTTATTAGTTTCAACGTCACTGTTAAGTTAAATTCATTTTATGCGGAGCCTTCAAGGAAATCCCCAACATATAAACATGTATACATAAAAAATTTTGGAATACTTGTAATACAACAAAGTAAGGATTCACCCCTCATGGAGGCATGACATCAGTTTTACTGTCTTATCGTCTTTACAGAACAAAATCCTCAGACTGAAGGAAGTTTGTTGCCTGGACCAGCAACATGAGCCAACTACTGTGGGTATAGCCCCACCTACTGAAACTCAAAGTTCATCATGCATTTCATGTTGTTGTTTGGATAGTTTTATTATTGTAAGGTTTTGTGTTTCTTTTTTTGGACCCACAAAGCAGAGCACAACACAACACAACAAACGTTGGTTCTTCACTGTAGACTGATTGTTTGAGCAGAGTTATAGGAGGTAGACTGGGGACAAACAAAACACATTAGGGAGGGCAAAACAGCAGGCAAAACAGTGGGAAGAAAGGATGACGGAGGCCTAATCCAAATACTTATGGAGTATGAATATACTTTTATGTTGTTGTTGTTTTATGTTTAAAAGACAAGACTGGTGAGGTCCTTTTAAAGGTCCCATATTGTATACAGTGAGACTTTGGCATTTATATTTAAAAGGCCCACACTGCAGGTTTAAAGTGCCTAAGGTTTACCATTTAGTTCAAGAGCATTTATGAAATGCTATCAATCACAACATGAGAAAATCCCTATGTCAAATCATGTCCCAGAGGTTTTACTATCTGTCGCTAGTATGAAATTCAGCACCATGGACAGCGACCCTGATTTGGCAAGCTGGTCAACACAGAGAGCTGGTCTTTGAGTTTCACATATGTTCACAGTACATATGCAACCGTCATCAGAGCACATGAAAAAGAGCTGTGTCTGTGCACTCAGCCTTTTTTCCTGGTGCCAGTCTTCCACACTGATGGAGCATTTTAGTGAGTCAGCAGGAGGTGACATTAGAAACTGAGGATGCACACGGGTGACACAGTTCCTCTCCATCACCACTTAGACCCGGGGTATTATTTCCAGTCGCAGTAATTCCAGCTTGGTTGTGTGTTTGAACAAGCTGGACATACCAGTTGTGGTTCATAACTCCCCTTCAGCACCTCCAGCTGCATGAACTATCATGAAAAAACATAGACATCATATAACAATGCACATAACAATCAATAGCTTTGACAGTTGTAACTCATTACTACATGCCAATCACATTGTGTAAAACATTAGAGTTTGTCTTTCAGACTCATTGTGGTTTGGTAACATTTTCAGTTGAAATCAAGAGAGAGACGCTGTATTTGACAGTTTCCTCTACAGAGCTGTTAAAGCTTTCGTCCTTTGCTATTAAACTTAGAGGTTTTACGTCCAATATTTAAAGTTAAATTTCCAGGAACTTACTTTAAAAAGTATGGACACTACAAAAAACCTCAAGTCTCAAGTTTTTGTGTCTTTTAGTTGCTGAAATCTTTAGTAAAACAATCTGTTTGACATAATTCCACTTGTATCAACAGGCTGAAGCAATCCACAGAGAGGAACAAAACTTTTTTATGTTTCTATTAAATTTTGTTTGCGTTAGAAACACTTTTCTTTTTACATATTACCTTTGTTTTTGGCAAAGTAATTCACTCACCTCAAAACATCGTTTGCTACATTCATATATTTGAATCTTCGGAGATATAAATCACAGAGATGAGAAGAAAAAAAAAATCAATTTTATTCTTTGTGTTTTCATTTTACTTTTGTACTTTTGTACTTTTTTTGATAAACCTTGATGACAAAATGGTATCAGCCAATGCGGGAAAAAAGAATATAACCCAGTATTTGGATTTGTGACTGTGTGTGTGACTGTGTGTGTGACTGTGTGTGTGTGTGTGTGTGTGTGTGTGTGTGTCTAAATGTGTATGTGTTGTGCCCAAAAACTCTACACTTTTCCAAACTCTGAAACTTTGCCATTTATCCAGGGTTATTTTCATTCTGCCGTTTGGGAGCATCCATATGCAGATAGAGTTGACGGGAATGATATATCTGCCCATGCTAACACCTCGCCCACACATTTAATATGTCTACAGACACACACAGCTGCAGTCCCCTGAACACACACACACCAACTCATGCACATACACTCACAGGCACAGATTAACACAAATGTACAAATATAGAAGCAGTGATGAATGAATTATTGGGAGTTTGCTTTGGTTATTACCTGCAGCTACATATTGGCCTTTAGTTTTAATGTGTTTCATTGTGTGTGTGTGTGTGTGTGTGTGTGTGTGTGTGTGTGTGTGTGTGTGTGTGTGTGTGTGTGTGTGTGAGACCTGTGTTCAACATTGTCTAAAACAAAAGGCATTAGTTCAGTAGACCAAACTAATGTGATTTTCTATTAATGTGATGCCTTGGGTGCATCTATCTGTGTGTGTGTGTGTGTGTGTGTGTGTGTGTGAGAGAGAGAGAGATTCTCAGTATTAGGTATTAGGTGTTGGATGAACTGCACCCACACCTTCAATTTGTATCAGCACATTCATTAACCACCACCAGGTCAGGCGGGCCTATTCATTACTTAATTTCTAAAACACACACACACACACACACACACACACACACCCACATTTCCAGTAACATTCAGGCCTGCTATTCTCTCTCGCAAACACATGCTAAAATATACACATACTGTGTTTTTATGACTGTGGTCCTCTGAATATCTGGCAACATTGTCAATGATTAAATGACTGGTGTTAAATATTGTGTTTGCAGTAAATCTGCTTAGGTGTGTGTGTGTGTGTGTGTGTGTACAGCGATACTAAATCTCCCCTGTATGACTTAATGCATATTGCTAAATCTATAAATGTAACCAATTAAGTGTGTGGCTGTAAATTTACACTGAGAACTCATGCAAATAAAGTCCTTAAATCTGAGCCAGTAACTTAACACAACACAAATTACACTCGGCATTTTATGGAGAGTCAAAACATGTTTACATTGCCTTACAGCGGTTGCCACGGTAACTATCCACATCCTGCGTTTGATGTCTGACCTAATGACGATGCCACAGTCTTTCAGCCAGGGGTTGGAGTTAGTCACACATGTGCAAGTCACAATGGGCTCATGTCTCAAGTTACTGTGGTGAGAATCAAGAAAGTCAAGTTGACAAGACAAGTCATTGCTCAGGTCCATCAAATCATAAGTCGTATGAAATTCCACCTTCAGTTCAGTTTAAGGACACCGTCATGAAAAGTTGAGTTTTATTTTCAGCACCTTTCTTTGTGGGTTTTGTAGTGACAGATGAAGCTGGATGTTTTGGAGGTGGTGTCATACCACTGTTCTCTTCTTACTGCCATAATTGATACATAGTCCTTGAATCCAACTTTCTTTTTTCAGGAGATAGAGCAGGTCGTCCACTAATCAGAAGGTCGGTGGTTCGATCCCCAGCTGCTGTTGAAGTGTCCTCGGGAGGGCTCCTGATGGCTGTTCCATCAGTGTATGAATGTGTGTGTGAACGTGGTTTGTAGTGTAAAGCGATAAGTGTTCAATGAGACTACAAAAGCGCTATAAGTGCAGTCCATCTATGACAGCTGCCTCTTGTGTGGGCGTCTGTCTGCTGCGTCCGAGTAGGTTGCCAGGTTTGTTTGCATTGCACCGGATCATGTTTCAAAAACAAAATGTCACTTCTCGATATCAACAGAAATGCTAGTTGTCATCAGATGTTTTCGGGTCTTCTGTCTCAGGTGGTGAATCCCAAGTCAAGGTCAAGTCTTTAATCACTGTTAGTCAAGAAAGTCTCGAGTCCTCAGCAGCAGCTTTTTATACCATTTGATTTTTACGTGATTTATTGAGATTTATCTGAGATCCTGACACAGCTGCGAGTTAGCGGTTTGTATTTCCATTTGACTGAGTTATGACCATGACTCACATGGTGTGACGTTTGTGGTAAATTGTGTCAATCAGGCGCCGGGGGAAAGAAGATGAATATTACAACAAAATTCAGACGCCTTTTATTTCTGTTCAGAGAACATTATTTGTTCATATCCAAATAATGTATTTGTGTTTATTTACATCCCTAATCCACACAGTGGTTATTGCCAGTAGTGCATAATAAACAAGGAAAAAGCAAATAATAATAAGGATGTGAGGTGGAGGAGGTATTTTTGGGGGAGATGACGAATCCACAGACTTTGTTGCTTCAAGGCAGAGGCTGTAATTCAGAGGGAAGGCCTTGTGGCAAGTGCTTGTGGACCGCAGTTAGAACACAGCACATCTGTGTGAGCCCCAGACCACGAGGAAAATACGAAGCCGGAGGAAAAAGAGACAGAGGGAAAGAAAAATAGAGAAGGAGAGGGAGAGTATGTGTAGGAGGAGGGAGGGTGGAAGTCCATTTGGGGCGAGCTCCTTGTCATTTTCCGTCCTGACCTCTATGTCTCACCAGCTCCTGCTTGTCTTTCATCTACAACTTGTTTTCTGTTCGTTCCAGTTGACCTGCTCTCACCCTGATATCCCCGCCACATAATTCCTCCTCCTCTTCTCTCTCTTTTCATTTGGTCTTGACCTCTTCATCTTCTTTTATTTCTCTGAATCTCTACTATTGCGCCTCTCTCGCTTTTTCTGCAATTACCGCTCTTTTTCTCTCCTTCAGTTTCATGCTGTGTACGGAGGGGAAAGCGATATATTTATAATTGAAAAGGCAAAAACGTGGTTGTAAGAATGGCATTAAAAGAAAGAAGATGAATCGAGATGAGCAACTCATGCAAGCGCCTTTTAAATCTGTCATTCCCGTTTATGTCTACAACATATATGAAAACACTTTGCCTCTGTATCACTTTTAATCTTCTTTATTGTCCCCTGCCCAGAAAGCACAAACACACTCTCAAATTCATATTCAATCTTTTATTGCCTTGAAAGTAAAGAACTCTATTGCCAAAGAAACAAGATAAAATGCACTTCCTGTCCATCACACTCTTCCTCTTTCATTTTCTCTCTCATACCCTCTCTTTAATTCTTTCTCCCTGTCAAGCATTTTTTCTTAACAGTATAAAAAATAGTTTTATATCTTATATAAAGTCTTATGTAAGTGTTTTTGATGATGTTTTCAATTCCTAACCTATTTGAGTTTCTAACCTCCATCAATGTTTGCCCCTCCCACCCCCCGCAGTTGAAAGCAGAGTTGTTTTTGTCTGTCCACTTTAATATAGGCTATATACTGTTTATCTGTCACCACACACCCACTATTTCTTTTTTCTGTCTGTTTCCTTCCTCCTCACAGTGGATGGATGTATAGACTGGTCAGTGGATCTGAAGGAGTACCATGTTTTGGCAGGCGAACCCGTCCGGGTCAAATGTGCCTTGTTCTACAGCTACATCAGAACAAACTACACCATGGCCACCAACGCCAAGCTGCGCCTCATCTGGTACAAGAACAAAGGAGATGCAGAGGTAAGACACTGTGAATTATATCTGATCAGGTCAGTATGTATGGATGTCCAGGACTGACAGTAATGAATTCACATAATCTTCACATATCTTTAGGTGGGCATCGTAGGACAAACTCACAGTAAAAAAGATTTACTTAAACTTTTATTTTTGAAATTGTTTCATATTTTAATTAGCAAAAAGTCAGGTTTTTAATTGTTTTTTTGTTTTTTTTTATTATTAGTATTTTAGTCTACAACCCTGTCTACAAAGTTTTTTAAAAAGTTGACATATTCCTCCTGAAACAAATTCTATTAGCTAACTATATACATTTGGACGTATTCATTTGAATCACCTGGGGCGTGAATCAGAGAGTGTTTTCCCTCTTCTTGATTTAACTTCCTTGTTGTGCATTCCCACCTACTCAGCTCCACCTGCAGTCCATATTTTGGGACGATGGTATCTATTAATAGCTTTTGTAAATTCTGTAAAAACACTTTCCAGATATTAAACCCTTATGGCTTAAAAATTTATAAATGAACTTGTTTCCAGTTTGAGATGCCTAGTCAACAGAAGCCTCATAGAAGATTTGCTACTTTGATTTGAAAATAAATACAAGCTTCAATGGACTCTACATTGGAATTTAGATTATATCATGACTTTAAATCACATCAAATATAAACTAAACAGAACATAAAGTGGCAGCTCTGCATGTTCATTTGAACTTTGTTTTCTTGAATCTGTCAGTCATTCAGTACAGCCAGTTGGCTTCTCACCAGGTTTTTAAAAATGAAGGTACAGTAGTCTGTTTGCTGGTTTATCTCATCTTATAACTGTCTTTACTTACTTTGCACTCATTTGTGTCTGGCTGAGTAATAGCTAATGCGCAGAAACTAGAGGGACTGATAAATCATACAGTGGTCCCATGTGCTGCAATAAAAAGTTGTCCCCCTTTTACCAGCATTGTGAATTATATAACCCACTGTGTATACATGTACATACTGTATATACAGCACCTGTCAAAAGTTGGGACACACTTTCCCATTCACTTGAACGGGAAAGTGTGTCCAAACTTTTGACTGGTGCTGTATGTGAATATTATATGCAAATGTGGTGTAATCTGCTGTGTAATTTTTGCATTACGTCCTATAGGAGCCCATCATTTTCTCAGGCCACAGGCTGAGTAAAGAAGACGACTCCATCTGGTTCCGATCTGCTGAAATGGAAGACAATGGATTCTACACCTGTGTTTTAAGGTAATCTTTGCACAAAACTACAAATAGGGCATTTGTGAGTTCGTTTTAATCACTAATTTGGTCCTGCCATGAATCAACCCTGAAGTAAAATGACTAACAACAGGGTTTGGGTACAACCTAGATTCTCTAAGGAAGCTCGATGCAGGATTATTTCTGGTCCAGCTGGGCGCATTGTTGATAACACTTTGTGAATATCACATAAACCCTGCTGCTCTCCAGAGATGGGAGCTAGGTCAAAGTACACTGAACAAAACACAGACTTTATTTTAGAGTTGCACTTCCAGCACCGGCACTCTGGCTTCATAAAACTAAATAAAAACTGTAACAAGTTTACCAACATGCAAACAAAATATTTTTGGCCCGACTCTGGCCGACAGCAGTGCTCCTGGAGTTGCCTCGGTATTGTTGATTTCATCATGGGGGCAACCTTGGAATAGATTTCTGACTCTGTGTGCTCTGTCTCGACCCAGGGGGCCCATTTACATTGCATGGGAGAAAAGCAGAAGTGTTTTTGGCGTTTGAATAAAAGGAATGTGAGGTTTTATTCAAAAGTGCTCGGTATCCACTTTGAGTAAAAAGAAAATGCTCCCTCAGTAATCAATATTTCAACAGACAAATGGCTGGTATTTCAAAAATATTACTATTTTATCATCAACATTTTGAGATTCACTATGAATGTCGGGTGCCCGCAGAGAGTTAATGTTCAAAAAGACATTGTGTCATTACTTTATTACGCCTGCTGAGGTCTGTTCATAATATCAAAGCCTTTCTCTTGTTTTCTATGTATTGCAGGTAAATGCGTGTGTGTCTCTGTGTGTGCTTATGATTGTTTGCTGCCAGTTTGGTAAATTGAAAAGTCCTGTGTGCTCCTTTAGGGATGAGCCTGTGAGTGTGTGTTAGTTGATACCACAGTGTTGGTGGTTGGTGGTTGGTGGTTGGTGGGGTGGGGTAGGTGGGGGGGGGGGGGGGGAGGGGGGGGGGGGGCGGAACAGCACTTACAGTCTTGTTTACCTGCAAGTAGACGGTGCGTGTGTGTGTGTGTACATGATGAACTGAATGAAACTTTTCCCTCTTGCAAACCTGTAAAAAAAGTAAAGATTTGGCTGGTAGTCAGCCAGTTCCCTTAGAGAAGAGGTCATCTTCATTTTTACTTTCAAGAAACCCTCTTATTATAACTGTTATTTTAATGTCAAAAATAATCTAAAAGAGAAATTTGAGATTTTATCGTTAATTTATGTCCTGGTCAATCTTTAATACTCATCAGATTCAAAGACAAGCATTTGAAATGAGTTGTGTAAAACTGAAGTTTAATCTGGTTATATAAGACGCTTGCTCTGTTTGCGCTGAGTCTGAGTGTGTTTGTGCATCGTCTGGAACGAAGCTGGCGAGTGCAAAGTTAGCATGACCAAAACTCAGAGTGGACATAATTATATCACAATTAATAGACTGAACTAAGACATTAACATTAACATTTGTCATAAGAACTCACAGCACTGATGTCTCTCAGAATGAAGACTTCATTTATTACTGCGTAGAAGTATTCAATGTTAACTTAATACCAAAACTTTTCCAGAACTCTTAATCAGTAATAATAATTGCCACACCCTTCATCATGTGATCTAGTTATAGAACTTCAGTGCTCATATATTAAACAATATGTCCGACAATATGAACACAATATTTAATGACAACTCAGTAAACTCTGCTGGTGCGGGTCATGAGATTCGAAAGCTTTTAAAAGGCTAGAGGCGTTTTTTTTTTTTTTTTTTTTTTCATTACGACCCTTCCTAAGGTCAACAATTATGTTCATGCTCAAATGAATTAAATTAATTAAGTCTTAACTATCTGCTATATCAGGGATAATGCCCAAAGAGTTGGGACTCCACTATAATTGAAATGATAGATTGATACAGAAGCAAAGAAGCACCCCACAAGAGGGAAAATATAGTTTGATTCCAAATCAGCCGCCATTATACTGTCCTCACCTGCCAGCCAGTCAGAACCGAGAATTATTCAGCGATCATGAAATGAAATAGCACGATCCTGTGGCTTAGACGTGTGAACATAACAACATCGCTCAAACGGAGTCCAGCCGCACAAGCAGTCACAAGATCCTTGAAATCATACAAATCACGCAGCCCACAGACTATTATTTCATTATAGGAAGAGAAAGCAAAACGGTACAATTATTACTCAAACATACTTTACTTCTGAGCACACGGTCTTCTCGTATAACATCTCTGGTGCATCTGCTGTTGGTTTTATATCTACGTGTAGTGGTTTATTTGTGGGTTGTTTACAGCCTGTCTGATCGTCTGGCCCCTTCTGTTTCCTGCCCAAACACCCTCTGTTGTGGTGATGTTCAAGCATCTCAACAGTTACTATTGGAGATATGTAGTACGTTGTTATAACTGATAGGAATAAGGGCCAAAACTATGAAAGTAAGATCCAAATTGTGATAAACCAGAATTTTTCTTTCTGCCTTGTGCCATGAGTCACTGTATCACATCTCCACTTGATACTGATCGTTTTCCTTCCCTGCATCTGATACCTTCAGCACCTTCTCTCTCTCCTGTTTCTTTCCCTTTGCTTTCTACCTTTCCCCCATCACCCTCTCCCACCTACTCCTTCGTCTTCTCCCACACCTAATCTGCTCTCTCTTCAGCTCACCAGCTGCCTCCATCCCTGTACTTCCCCTCCTGCTTCACCTCCTGTTTTTCTTCTCTCTGCATCCTGCTCCTGTTCGAGCTTACTCCTGCTCTCTCTCTCTCTCTCTCTCTCGCTCTCTCTCTCTCCTCCTGTCCTCCTGTTTCTCCCTGGCTGCACCCGATTCACCCCCCTTCATCTCCCTCCCCCTCCCCCTCCTCTGCTCTCATCCCACCTCCTTTTCCTGTAAGAGCTTGACACCTATCCTCCTTAATAGGCTCTCTCTCCCTCTCTCTCTCTCTTTCTGTCTTTCCCTCGTTCTCTCAGCATGACAACCTAATTAGGGCTTGGTGTCTGTCATTGTCTCAGGGTCTCTTATTAACACACACACACACACACACACACACACACACACACACACACATGTAGAGGCACAGCACCTCCTATCCAAGTGGAGAGCTACCAACTGGATTATATTATATTACTAGAAGGCTGTATCTAGAATGTGTTACAATGCACAGACAAAGCCACAGGGAGAATATACTGTTAAATGTATTCATTGCCCTCGGTCTGATGCATATTGTTGTTGCTATTGTAAGGAAACTGCCATATAAAGATAAAAGTCACTTTTTTTCTGGATTAATTTCACAATTCCACCTGACACTCAGTTCTGACCGGCATCAGGTGAAGTCAGGTTTATGCAGGGACAATAAAAAACATCAGATTAATCTCAGTTGCAGCCTCAATCCGCCTGAGATAGATAAAATGGGTGTAATCTGTTATAAAAATGTTACCAAGTACAGCTTGATATTTCATTTATCTCCATATGCTGCCAAGGCCTGACGGTGAATCTCCTCTCCAAGATGTCAAGTGTACAGGAATTGGTGTGATGCTTCAGTTTGACACTCAAACTGCTTACGCATTTTGCAAATGACTAAAAATGGTTTGCCTCAGTAACAGTGAATTACATATATTGGATAGTGGAACAACAATGTCAAGAAAACCAAGGAAGCAGGTATCTTAAATCTGTCTCACTGTGTCACTGTTCTTACACAGGCACAACCCTGTCTCCGTAAAATGACATTTCTATACAACTAAACTGCAACAGCAAATATGTTTTGTGGGAAAGGTAACTGTGCCCAGATTATGTTTTCTATTAGACACTCACAGCACTTGGCGAAGGTTAGGGAAGATCATGCTCCGGTTTAATACAGAAAAAAGTTAATTAACATTTAACTAAAACCACCATCTTCCCCTAACCTTAACCTTAACCATAAGTATTTTTGTGGCCAAAACCCTCACGCAGCTCTCAGGATGTGCACCACGGTCTCTGGTGTGACAGTCGTGTGCCTTGTACCACCACCTACCCCGACCACCTTCTGGTGACTCTGGTGCCATTAATAAATCTAACACTTGCGTGGAGCTGGAGGCTTTCAGGAGAGCGGAGGCAGCTGGCCACTGTCCTCCACGTAGATTATAAAAGTATATTATAATTATTGTTATAAAAGCCTGGCACTCTGGAGGCTCCTTCGTCCCCTGCACCACGTTGTCTTCAGTTAGAGTTTTAATTTTCTTTCTGATTAATGAATTTAGTATTTATTTTGTTAGTACAGTGCTAGTTCGATCTGCCAGCCTTATCTTCGTTAAGCAAAAACTAATTTCTGTTAAATAAAACTCATTTGTTTTAGTTAAATCCATGCGTGTCTTCCCTTATTTGCTAGGATCTCAGAGCCAGGCCATAACATCTTTCATTCAAAAAGAAAAAAAATCATTGTCTCTGAACATAATCCAGCCAGTGATTACATTTTGAAGTGTAATTTCTAGGTTGATAGACGGGTTTCCAAACAACGTCTTTGTAGCGTGTAGAAAACAAACTAGAATGACTGAGAGCTTTTTGGAGCTCAACACGAAAGGTTGTTTTAGTATTTAACTGCTCGATTTGCAAAGTCATTCTTGGAAAATGTTCAATATCACAGGAAGAAAACAGACACTGACACAATTTGTTATGAGGAAAGTTTTTATTAATTCATTTCATTATTTTTGCCAATATGAAAGCCATCTACAGTATATTAGTCTCCATCCTCTGCTGTGCATTCACTTACCCTGTTACTCTGTCCATCCATCCATCTATCCATCCATCCATGCATCAGTCCATCAGTCCATCAGTCCACCTGTCCACGCCTTTTTCTTGTCAGGGTGATAGATGTGTGTGTGCTGAGATGTCTATATCTTCTCTAGTAAATTAACAAACTGTGACAGACAGGGCCAAGGGGAAAATGATGAGCTTTTTTTACAGACCTTTCTTTTCTACTCCTTCTCTAGTTTCCTTTTTGACTTATTTTTATTGCTTTGTC